TAAAATAAAGCCCTACACCCCGGCCCAGAAGAAGATACATAAGATTTGTTTTGAACTGTGTATTATGCAAGGCAACTTTAGAAGAGTCCAAAAATACTATTATGTAACTGGAAATGGGCATAATTGTTCCACTTTAAATGTTGTTCAGTAGAAGTTGTTTTTTATTTACCATCACAGGGGGAAGAGAGGTAAACCGGGCCACACCAGTCAGCACTGAGATCGTACCAGCACCTCAAGAGTTCAGCTCCAAGACGAACAGCAGCAGTAAAACCAGGAGTTTGGACACCTAACACCTGCAGCGAAAGCCAGGAAATACCAGCAGCAGAGTTTTTTTGATATAAATGATGTTTGCTTGCTGATCTTCTATTGATTTATTCTGCAGTTACTTATAGTAACTGCAAATAACGTCTTTCCGAGTAATGACGGTGCTGACTGACTGCATGATCAGTCCTAGTTTTTGTTTTGTGCAAAACGAGGTTCAAATGAGTTGAGCTGTCTGTGTGTAGCTGACATTACCTGGTTCTCCACTATAGCCCTAGAATGCTTCCCAAGGGCAACTTCTGTGGCTTTCCTGGTGAATTCTCTCAGTCCAAGAGAAGAGGGATACTCAGGATGAAGAGTGGGATCAGTGCTCAACTGCTGCTTTATTTTTCCAACCAGACGCAATTCAAAGGGTTTTCCCTCCTCGCTGTAATACTCTGCAAAAACATGTATTGCAAAGAACAGAATATATTTAATCTGACACAAAAATACAACGCACCCTCAGAGCCGAAAAACTGAAATTAAAATCCCTTTAATAATTGTGTTGCCTTCTAACAAGTGGCAACAAAGAGTTAAAATGTTTAAACAAGTGCAGTAGTATCTTAAGGTACAGATCATTTACTTGCAACATGCTCACGTAATTGTGGCCTTAGCAGCTATTGCACTGTATGCGTCAGCAAAGGCTGAGAAAATGAGGTACAAAGCGAGGCAAGAACTGAGTTTCTAGCAGCTATTTCAAGAAGGCTCACGCAGAGCTTCAGCTGCTCTCTATTAGGCTCAAAGTAGCTGATTAAAGTGGGAGCAAATGCAACCTCCAGGCTTTAAAAAGCCCCTTCAAACACCCACTGGTACAATCTCATGAATGCTTCGTGTTTTTAGCATTGACACAAAATATAAATGTTAAAGGCCATGACTGGCAATTAATGATTTTACTGAAAATCTTAATGTACTGCTCACCGGGCTTTCTATAAAGATATGAGTATACAGTGTCTGATGCACTGAATATCTTCTTCGGTGTATCTTATTACATTGAATAAGATACTGACTGGTGACCGGCGAACCAGTCCTCTGCTCAGATTAGAATCTGAGGAGGCTACACGGTGTATATAGCAGTATTTTTCTTTCTGCTCACATATTGCCTGCCATAATGCGACTCACGTATTTCCAGCTACATTGCAGAACTGTGGAGGCACATTACATTATATGTGCAATAAAGCAAGCCTGTAACAAAAAACAAAACAAAAACAACAAAAATAATAATAATAAAAGCACCTATATTAGCATATGTTGTCTGTGTTAAATTATAACAGATGTACTTCACTAAATTCACATTTAAAAATCAAACTGCACTTTGTGGATAAAAGTTATATATCTAAGTTTATTTATTTAAAAAGTAAGTATAAGTAAGTAAATATGTCATACAATGTCTGCATCTTTGATTTTCACATCTGTCGATAGCTGTTGTCTATATTAATGTAAGTTTGCTAAGTTTGGATCTGACTCATGAGATCATCAGTGCATTTGAGTAAAGTGTACGTTTGTAGTTAATGTAGTTACCACTAGAATAGTGGTTTAAAAAAACCTGCGGTATTTTTTTTAGGGGGGGGGAGAGAGATTACTAACTATATAGAGATGACATAAGCATTTTTTAAAATTACATTAAAATTAAATTTGAAGTTGCACAACATTGTTTCTGTTTGAGTTATATTATCTATCTATCTATCTATCTATCTATCTATCTATCTATCTATCTATCTATCTATCTATCTATATAACGTGATAAGACTCACCTCTGCCTGCCAGATCAACTTTCCTGGCCTGGGTATCTCTGGCGAAGGCGGATAACAACCTTGTTTCGGGACTCACTGGTGCGTTGAGCGTATTGGTAAACAGTGGGCATTGACCTCCTGGGTCTCCATTTTGGCTGACCCCTTTTTCATCAGGGCTGCTGCCGGGTCGGCTCATCTCGGAGGCGCTCAGACAACTCAGACCGGCGGGAGCTGCGAACCTTTTGTTTGGGCACTGTTGCCAAGCTACAGCACATATTTGGACTCTGTGGCCCAGGCAACGGGGATGGATGAGTTTTGTCGCTCCCTAATGTGTGGCTCCGGTGAGTTTACTTTTGCCCTGACGGTAAGCCATCAAAGCCACTGGAAAAAGAAAGGATGAGCTATTATCAGTGAAGACCCAGATGCATCTTTAGCTTCTAACACCGACAACACGCTAGTCTAAAGCTCAGCTTTGTGTCATTATTAAGGCTTGTTTGGGAGCTTGGCCCGTAGCCGCCATAAATTAGCCCTATTGCAATACACAAAAAAAAAAAAAAAAACGAAGAAGAAAACAAGAGGCTTGCTCATTAATTGTACAAGAGTGTGTCGGTCATATATATCTGCAGATGAGGCTATTTCCTGCATCCATGGCTTCCACTCATCCATTTCTTATATGTTTACTCAAATGCATTCATTTGATGACATTTATCCCACTATCATTTTCACAGATCAGACTAGTCTTAATGGTGGAGTTCATGTATAATCTGAATTCATGAGAAATTAAAGTTCCATGTACAATTTTCCTCCTTGGAAACCAACTGAAATCCGCAGTGTAAATCTCTTCAGGCTATTACTGTGCTCCTGCATAATACTGCTGGGAAATAGTGGTTTCCTTCCAGGCAGTGAACTAAGGAAAGAAAGCCATTTCCAGGGGATAAAGAGGCAGCAGCGAATATTGCATTAAATGAAATTGCAGAATCAAAGTAAACATCTGATGGAGGTGATAAGTGAGCCTGGCTTTGTAGTTCACTTTATGAAGCTGGAAATCACAGATAACTGCACTAGATGGCAGTAGATGGCCAAATCAGCCATCAACTCTTGTCAACTGGTTGACTTGGAGTTAAAGATGCTCTTGTCCAGCCTGTCCAGTCCTGGTTTTTATAGATTACATGACAACAACTTTCTTTTTTTTCCAGGAAAGAAATAGAAAAAGATTCCAAAAATGTAAGCTTTAGGTGGGGAATTGGATTCTGGTCTTTTCACACGGCTGTTAAATATTTTTACCCTTGCCCCGTTTTTAAAAAAACTAATTTATCTTTGTGTGGTTCTCACACAAAACACATCGGTACAGTCATTTTATCCCAGGGAATGACAACAAAAATTCTACCTTTGACTTTGTCATTTGCTGGATATTTGAGCCTCCGGGTGTTATTGTTGAAGTTGGAATATTTCTGTGAAGTCAAATTGTTTCTGAATGCCGAGTTGGCCTCTGAAGCAAAAACGAACACACAGATAAAAGAAAGAAAATGTGACAGAGAAAGACATTTAGAAAGAAAGACAACCCGACAACACTGTTGACTCTGACTCTGGGAAAAATATCTGGATTCTTAAATCTACTCCCGTCAAGAGGCTGTTAGTGAGAAAGGAAACGACATGTTAGAAGAAGCTCGGTTTGTGCCTTGATCACGCTCCCACGTTGTCAGGAAGAGTTCACGATAGTTTATTAAATTAAAGATGCAGCTGACACAATTAGATTTAAGAAACCTTATCTGGTGACTGTTGATGTCCAAGTTTAGTGTCAATGGTTTTTATTTTGTTTTGCTTTTTCATTTATCTGAAGCAGGTTCTAAAAATATCCTGAAGAAAACTGAGCTACACGTCTTAGACACTGGCTGTGGACTTGCATGTGTAATTGAGAGTGAAAGTCATTTAAACTTCCAAGCAGATCCAAGAGTGCCTCAGTCACATTTAATAGTAAAAGCAGAAGAAAAAAGAGGATTTTATTGAATTCATTTTCTTATGTAGAATATTTTCCTAATCAGATGTTCCGCCTCTGTTTTTATAGTCTTTTTTTGTTTCCTGTACTTGTATCTTATCAAACCCTCCCAGTCGTACTTTAAGTGGTGGCTTTTCCTTGAAAACTTTAGGATTGATTTCGGTCTGATACCACTCATGGAAAACATTGGAACAGGAATCAGCTGATAGGAATGTGGCTTCAGACAGGGCCATTATTTCCATTCTGAGTTGTTGTGTGGCTTTTTTTTTCTCTCTCCGAATGATATTTTTGGTAGTCACACTGCCCGTCTGGCAGGGCTAATGTCAGTTTTGGCTTATTTTCAAATGTCTTACATTCTGCTCTTGGTTTATTTTTAAAGTCCCAAATCTTGTAAATTCCTCTCATAACACGGAGATGTTGCCCGCTCAAACAGTAGCCAAAGCCAGAGATGACAGTGGTTTAGATAGTGGGAGGATTACTTAAAATAACATTTCAATAATGCATTGTTTAGATTTGTGTCTTGAGCTCACATCAACAGTAGTTTTACTTGCTCAGTGTTGTGGAACATGGACTCGTAGAGTGAAGGTCGGGACCCTCAGGGCCTCCCAAGATAAATCCGAGGGGCCATAAGTAGATCAAAGGGTTAGGAAAAGGGGAACAAATATTCCTGTTCACAAAGCTGTTTATTTTTTCTGACTTTTTTTCCTTTTTTTTCTTGTGAAAGTACTTAAAGTACTACACTTTCACATCTACAGCATCCCAAAAAAACCCACTTCAAATGAAGCCACCTATGAAGGACAGAAATAATTAAATCCCTCTTAAGTCATTGTCTGTGACGGTTACATACAGCAAAAGTTAATAATAATGATTATTATATTGTTACAGTCATTTGTTGTTTGCTTCCAGAATGGTGAGTTTGCACACACAGCACGCATGACCAATGTTACACAGTTTTAAAATACTTTATTTTTCAATGCAACAGATGATGTTATGTAAAATCACACCACAAGGTGCCTTATGACAATGAAGTAATACATAATGTGGGCAGAAGGTTTTCTGTGCGTGTGGACATTTCAGGGGACGGTGTTGGGCTTATACTGTGGCCACAAGCCAAAGAAAATAAACTAGCAGCACGGCATGTTGCATATGCTGCTGTGTTTACCTGCAGTTCGTAATACTGTACCTTGTACAAGGACATACCCACAAAAAGATTCTAGACAGCGTGATGTTTGAGGCATCCAGACGTAAGGTTCTGTCATCCATTATTCGTAGCCATGGCACAACTTAACATAGACATGGGCTTTTAAATCCCAGTTTCACTGTTGTGTGCATACAGACTCAAAATAGAAACATTAAGACTTTAAACCGACACAAAAATGGAGTATTTCTATTCATAGTTCTTTGGTTAAGCTGATATTAAACTGAAAGGTTTTTGTGAAGAAAATGTTCCTACAGTGGAGACAGGCTTGCCAGAATGATCGCTTAGTCGAGTTTGCTACAGATTCAGTGTATCGTCATTACATAACTTACCAGATAATATACTGTACAAAAATTTGTTTATACTGACATTTTTGAAACCACAAGCCACGTGACACTGTGTCCATGTACTGGAATGCATTTCAGTGTTGATGTCAAACACTGTCAGTCTGGAGCAGAGAGCCTTTTTCCAAACAACACGTAGAGGACTCTGGGAGGTTCATCTGTGATGCCACCTAATCTCGGCTGTACGCCAACAAACAAACAAACAACAACAACAACAACAACAACAAAAACAGTCACAGTGTTCCCATTCAGACCGAATCATCTGTTTCTCCACAGTCAATCCAGTCATGTCTTTGGGGCTAGCTTCATTCTGCTGTGCTTTTCAGGGTTTGGGATTGAACTTTTCTGTAGCTTTTCTTTGCTGTTTGGTCTCAGACTTTGCAGAAATCACAGTAACAGCTGGAAACGCAGTTCGCTTCAGTAGGTTGACATTTCACTCTTCATCTGTCCTGTTCCTGCAACGTGAATCTGAAAACAGATGGATATATTAGCATCCAGCGTTTCCGTGACAAAATCCATACCTATTGGTGAAATAGCATCGCATGGCATTTTGTTGTTTTAGGCTGTCTCTTAGTAATGAGAATAAAATGTCTAAATATGCCGCACCTGGGATTATGTCACTTGCATATTTTCGATTTTCATTTTGTTTGCTTTAAATAGAAGCCTTATCTGTATTGAAAAGTACCTGATATTCGAGACCAGATTACTATCGTGTCGTGAATCGCCTCATATTTTTGACTTGGTGTGCAGCCATGTGTTATGTGACCGTGAAAACTGAGCTTTTCTCTGTGTGTTTCTGTATGACTTGTTGGTTTGTGTTGGTCTCGCCCTGCACACCATTTTAGTTTTGATCAGATAAAGAAGGACTCGGAGACAGCAGCCGCTGTTTGTTGTCTTACAGGTTATTTGTAAGTATCTCGGTGTTTTCGTGTTCATTGATATCATCGCTGCACCTCTTCCCTTTTATTTATTTTTTCTTCCTAATTACAGAAAGTTACTGCATAGTTGCCCTCATCATTCTGTCCTTTGTGAAACTTCTTTTCCCTTAAACAAGACAGGAATTCTGATGCTATCACTTCTGCTGTACATGTCTCCACAGGAAGACATAATCTACCTTCCACTGGAAGCTGCACAGAAATACGAATGCTTATAGGGAAGAAAACAGCTACCATACAGTTTACAATGTGGTTTCATCAGAACTCCTTTCTTACATTATGTACTGCTGGAAAGTGACATCACTGTTGTCTACTTTGTGTCTTGTGGCTTCAGTGTGCGGTATTTGGATGGTTTAACCCCTTGAGCCTCAGTTGATTATTTGACACTTCTACATTTAAAAAACATCTGCACTGTAGTCGGCAACAGCTGCAAAACCGTAAAGCCAAGATAAGCAGTCTTGCGCTTTATGGATAAGAGACGCTTAGAAGAATTTTGAATGCAATAGGTCTCCTTTTTCCTTATCACCAGTCCAGATTGAACTTGAGAAACCTTCATGGTTTTTAAGCTTTTTTTTTCTTTTCTTTTTTTTCCGTCTTTATGCATCTTTCCACCTGGAACCTGGTACACAGGACTCTGGGGTCAAAAGGAGTTAATGGGAAGAAACTCCAAGAATAATAGAGCCAAAGAGCTATACTTAAGTCAGTTATTTTGAATTACAAAACCACAGATATGTGTGCAGATATTGTGTAGCCTCCATTAAAGCTAAAGTAGCCTCTGCTCATCATTAGTTAGGAAAAATCCATTCATCATA